ATGTCAACTATTTTGTACGTTTATTAAAATTAAAATTAAAAAGTTTCATTATCTTTATAAATTATTTTGAAATATCGGGATATTATATTCGATTCTTCGGTACATTCAACTGTATGATTGTTTGATAAGATATTCTCATAAATCCATTAATCTCATATTGTAATTCAATTTTATTTGGCTATACAAAGATTCACATTGAGATTTTTTAAGTAAGTGTATATACATTCAATTATAGCACTAAAGCTAATTACATATAATTTAATCTGTGAAAATATATTCTTCTTTTGTTGAATATGTTAAAAATTTGCTACAAATGTTCATTTTCTTTTTTTCATTATATCTATTTAAATTTTATTTTTTTAATGACATGATGGTTTATTACTTTCCTTTTTTTTTATAATGATAATAGATTCTATTATTAGTACAGCAACAAAACAAAATTTCTTTCATAAATCGGACATGCGTGTTTGATTAATCATGTGAATAAAATAAAATGACATTAAAAAGAACATATGTATTTTAAGAAAAAGCATAAAAGGATTTCATTAATTGATGAGAAATAAATGTTGAAATATTATTGAGAAAAGATGTACTTCGCTCTATATATTGAAAAAACAAAGAAATGCAGAAAATAATCATAAAGAATATATAGTTCCAAGGTGTCAGCCGATGGGTATTTTGAGATGTCGATTTCAATCTTCGATAGATCTATAGATATGAAAATATTCCATGTCTTGCTGAGTCCTCGACCCATCGGAAAGCGGCACTTCGAACAATCGATCTGGAATGCTAATGGCAATCGAAGCATCCTTTTTGAGAGGTTTCTAGAGGATCGAAACTTAAGAAAAATTTTAAAATGTTGTCCGCTAGATATCTCATTTCAGAGCCGTTGATATCTGTCGGATAAGTGCAGAAGAGAAGATTCGAAGATGGGTATCTATGGTTAACAAACTTTTGTCGAGCATCTAAACTAAATATGAACTATTCTTCTTTTATGAAAAGCATCTTTTTCATTATATACGAAAACACTTCGATAGATTTTTTGGTTTTTTAAAGTCCAAAATTTGATTGCAAGAACTTGTTTAATAAATGCAATGTATCAAGATACATTGATGTGCGTGATAAAACGACAAAATAATGCTTCGAAATATTTTTTAGAAGATAAATGGTAAATATTCTTCTACAATAACCAAGAAAATATACTGAGCATAAACGAGTTCAGTAATATCACTAAATAATAATAAAGAATCTCTCAAAATTCAAACTTTGAAGAAGTTTTGAGTATTCGTAATTATACCGAATAATCAAAAGTATCTTTCCGATAGGTTTGTCCTCTTGGAGTGATCGAAATATGTCTGAGAACTCGAAAATGAGTATCCCACAGGATGAACTTGTCGTGGGTTTGATATTCGGTGGCTACTGGAGGGGTCCAAAATCGAACAGAACGAGCAAAAAACCATCTGTTTCAAACTTTCGGCTACTCGTCGTGCCCGTTGTATACTTTTTAGAGTCTATTTGAGGTAATACGAAAATCGATAAAGAAGTCAATGTAAGTTGAATTATGAATTCGAAAAAACAATTTTTAAATTCAAACTAATAATTTTTGATCTGTAACTAGAGCCCGACGAGTCCAAAGTTTTTAGAGCTGAACCTGAACTGAGTTAATGGAAAATTTTTCAGACCTGAATGTAGGATCAACTAGACAAATTCTATCTACGATAGCAATAGTTCTCACAGTTGACTTATATCATTTTTATAATATTGCAATGTTTAATATTATTTTATATAACAGCTTTACAATGATTCTTTTCATTTGTATTCTATTTTTAACAATTGATGATTTTCTCAAGTATACACATTTTCTTTTAAGTTGATGAAAAAGATTCGCCACATTCTCTACGATCATCCCTGAAAAAGCAAAACATATCACAAAGAGCATATTTTTTTGAATAAATTTCGTTTTTTTTAGGGGTTTTGGTGATACTTTTAACGTTTTAAAGAAAGGTCGTAGAAAATATAGCGACCCCTCATGTTGTTCTCTTTAACATGGTAGCGTTAAAAAATAGTTTCTGGGATCTGAAAACTATCGTGTCCAGTTTTTTAGAAATATTGTCATCATAGTGTGTCTATGGAATCTTGATATAGAATGCATTAGATAGAAAATTTCACTGGTTATTAAAACCTACTGTTTGAATTTGAGCTAATTGTTGAACATTATAGAAAAAAGAATTTAAAAATACGTTGTTATTAAACTTTTTCCTATCATATTAGGTGTTAGTGTCTTGCTGTAATATATTACATGAAAATTTTAATTACAATGTCTCAACAAATATTCAATTGTTGATGATAAATCATTAGTGATAACATATGGAATATGTTCTCATAAGTTACATTAATAATTGTAATTCAATAAGTATTCAACATCGGAACGATAATTAGAACTTTAAATTCTAAAATGATTAGAATATAGTGTAAAAAAGTAGTTAAATAATTTTATAAAAACATACTATTTTGTAGAAATTTTACTCTGAAATTATGCTGTTCTTTTTCACAGAATGTTTCCAACAATTTTTGTGCTTGATGAACCTTTCAAGTATTGTATATTTGACTCTGGTAGATCAAACAAATCTTACGGTACACTACTTTTGAACAAAAATAGACAATTTAATTAATAACTTCCATAGAAGATTATATTTATTATTATCCTTAAGTAATCTCTTGTTGAATTTTATAGAAACATTGGATTTCAAATGTGATTTATATTGATTTTTTGTCTCTGTTATGATATAACATCTATATTTCTGTAATGGCTTATCTTTTCTTGCGTGTCACCTTTCTTTTGGTATATATATATATATGATGATTTAGTCAATTAGTTAAAAAAAATAAACAAGAAAGAGATTATGTTCTACTAAAAATGAACTTAGTTTATCCTTAAAAAAAAAGTAAAACATAACAGTTCAATTTAGAACAAATGAATTTATTTTTTGCATATGTTGTCTATTCTTGTATTTGTTCTTTTTACTTAACAATATAGTTTTAAAATATATTTATACAATTTATGGCTTTTGTTTTGTTGAAAAAAGAAAATTATCTTTTGTTGATGCTTGAAAGAATGAAAATATGTTTGATTAAGCATAAAATTTGTTAATGTCACTAAAAGCTATTTATTTTAGAAAATATTCTTTTGAAAATGGATGTTCATACTAAGATTCATCTGATAAATTAGCCAATGGATCTATAAGTTATTTTCCTTGGAGTAATGAACCTTTTTAATTGTTGAAAAAATCCATCATCTTATTAAGTTCTTCGAACATTTCAAATATTGTTTTCTTTACTTCAATGTTTTTGTATGAAAAGAAAGGAACTAAAAAATATATTTTGAGTGCCATATGAAGTTAGGATCAAGCTCTACATAAACCGTTTATTCTTGATTTAAATGATTTTAACGTGAAGAAAAATAACAAAACTCAATTTTTTTCTCTAGCAGGCAAAAGTTTAAGACATTTTTAGTATTTGAGCGATTACATCGTTATCAAGAAACTGAGACAATTTTCAAAAATAGACAATTATATACAGAATTAAACGGGCTACATTTTACTATAAATTTTAATCTTCAAGAATATAGTGGCAGACAACAATTTAGAGCAGCTGTATTTTTAAGTTTTCTTTTCGATGGTAATAGCTAGCAAGAATCTGAACAAAGATGTGTGTAGCTAGAAAGGTCCTCTATCAGGATTGATAGATTCGAAGACTCCAACAGCTTTCTGACCTTCATTCGAAGTTTTTGTAAAAGAGTTTTATTTGATAGAACAAATCGTTGTGAGCAAAATGAGATGAAGTACATTCAATTTATAGAAGGCTAAACAAATATTTTTCATTTCCTTGTATTGAAAATATCAATATTTTTGCCATGTTTGAAGCTTTGGAGTCTTCCGTAAATTGAATGCATTTCATCTCATCTTGCTCACAATTCTTTTCCAAAAGCTTCGAATAGAAGCCAGCATCATTCAAGGAGATTTGTTGGAGTCTTCGATCTTCTCAATCTTAATAGAGTTTTTTTAAACACTAATTAAAATCTAATTTGTAATTAATAACATTAAATTATTATAACTATGAATATTGTTCCTATCTTTTTGATAGTGGCATAATCGTCAAAATACTAAAAGTATCTTAAACTTTTGCAATACACTTTATTTGAAATCTCTATATCGACAAAGTTTTAAGTCAAAATTCGAAAATATAAGTTTGCTGCAAATGTTTCACCTTTCAAAGAAATATATACTAAAAATTTGATATCTCATAAATCAGAAACAATAAACATAAGTTCTTTATAAGATATTCATAATTTATTAGGATCTACATGATGTATATAGTCTTGATATAAAAAACAACTTTACACCTGGAAATATTCTCTCGTTGATGTCATTTATTATTTTTTCATTTCTAATTTGAAAGAGAAAAAGTAAAAGTTACATTTTCTTTTCAGTATAAATGAGCCATACAAAGAAGATATGTCACTATATGTTAATAAAAGATGAATTGAATACAATTTAACAATGACTTGTGTATATAAATAATAGAAGAATAAAAGATCCTTCTTTTTGTTTCTTTTTTGTACTCGGTATATCCTAAATCGATTAGAAGTCAAAAAAACGTTTGCATGTACTCCACAAATATATAGGTTGCAATTAAGAAAACTGGTAAACTTTTTATCATGAATAAGAATTCCTAGATGCATCTTTTTAAATTTAAGCACAATTATGTATGTCATATGTGATTTTCGCATGAGCACTTTTGAATAGTGTGAATATTAAAAAAAATCAAGGCATAATGAAGATTTTTCTTTTTGTAAATCTTTTATTAGTAAATGATATAGAAAGAAAAAAGAAGAAGAAAAATATTCTTTTAATCTACTTATATAATCGATTCATCATAGTCGAACTATATATTTAAACATAACCATATCTCAAAGTAAATAGTTGTATTGACAATTTATCATGAATAAAAGTTATTTTAATGAAAGTCTTTTACAAGACACAAATGATAATAAAACACAAACGGATGATTATCCAGAATTTTTATTACCTAAACCTATTCGTTTTTGGTTACTTATGATTTTTGAAGTTCCATCTTTGGCTTGTTCATTAGTACTTCTTTATTATTTATTTATTGATCGTAATTTACGACAATCATTAAGCAATCATGTTATTATGGTTCTACTTATTATTGGTCTTTTTTCTCAATTAATTGATATACCATTTTATCTTAATTATTTACGTATAAATTATGTTTGGCCACCAATAACAATCAGTTGTCTTACGTGGTGGTTTGCAGCAACAGGTATTTCTAATTTAACAAATATTGTTATGGCATGGGCATCCATTGAACGACATATTTTAGTATTTCATGATCAATGGTTATAAATGAAAAGAAAACGTTTATTGATTCATTATTTTCCACTTTTAACAATCGTTCTCTATGGTTTTATTTATTATATTATTATTCTTTTAATATTTTCATGTGAAAATATGTATGCATATGAATTTGATTGGTGTTTTTATCCGTGTTATTATAATGATGGCAATCTTGCTTTGTATGATACAATAGTTAATTCAATATTACCAACACCAATTATTACTATATTTAGTATTGCATTAATTATTCGTGTCATTAAACAAAAACAAACTGTTCATAGAAATTTTGACTGGCGTAGACATCGGAAAATGGTTATACAACTTTTATCAATAACAGCATTATTTCTTTTTTTTAATTTTCCTATGACAACTCTTGTTTTAGCTAATGCATGTGGTTTACCAAATGGTGCAACTGGACAATTTGAATTTTATACTTATTATTTATATCATTTTGTTTCACTTTTAATACCATTTGTTTGTCTTGGTGCATTATCCGAAGTTAGAAAGAAAATCAAACAAATGATTATATTTCAAACAATGATCAATGTAATTACACCAGGAAATGTTTTGTTTCGCTAATTAATATATTTCATAAAACTTTTGATTTCTATATAAACTGTAATTGTATGTATAAAGAACTGAATTATTCATTAATAAAAATATATATTCATTAAGTGTTAAAAATAAATTTATCTATCATCATAATTATATTCATTAAAAGACTCAACCGAAGTAATCTGTTATTATAAGTTCATAAACAACACAAGGCCAATAATAATGATATATGAGAAAAGAGTAATCAAAA